TCAACTGTAACACAGCATGAAAATTACGACAAAACCTTCAAAAGGTAAGTAGATCAATGATTTGTAACTGAGAAAGAACATATTACGCTCTGGAGAAAGCGAGCAACGGTAGCGAGCTGCCTTATCTGGTACATACTCCTCATAGGACTTCCTGCTTAGTTGTGTAGGTATTGAAGTGGAGATCTATGGCTTGTGAGCGTGATCCTTAAGATCGCTGTAAGAGTCCAGATTGCATTAATTCATGTTTGAGCGAATTGAACACTGCAATCTGATCTTCAGGTTGAAGCCATAAGATCTGCGTTACTAGCTTCGCGGGATTTGGCACTCTGAAAAAAATTCTGATGTGTGTTACAAAATGTAATAAAAGATTTAAATAAGGTCGGTATGAAAATGATGAAGCTTTCACTGATATTTGAAGGGCTTAGTTTACATCTGACTACGATTTGATAAGTGGATTTGCATTTGCATGACAGAATAAACACATCCTTAGTATATCTGAGATTAATGAATTGAGGTCATAGAATATATTTTATGAAACAAATTAGAGTTAACAGATGCAGCGAACCTAGGCCAAGGAGCTCAATTAACTGCACTTCACTAGCAATGCAACTTTGCATAACTAGTCTACAAACACAAAGCTAATCGAGCAGAGAAACTCAAAAAAGCTGCATATTTTTTTGTAGAAGGTTGAAAAGTGCTGAATTATTTTCGTTCACAAAAGAAGAAATGAAGAAAATCCTAGACTTGCCTGATGAAAGTATGGATGTAAACACTAACAAAGGTGCCCATCAGTAACTGACAATCAAAACGGTCCATAAGTCCTCCATGACCCGGAATAACGTCTCCAAAGTCCTTTAATTCAAAGATTGGCAAGAAAAACAACTAATAATAGAAGTATGAAAATGTGGGCTTACCTTAATCTTGAATGCTCGTTTGAATCCACTAGCAAAGAATCCACCAAATGGTCCGAGCAAACTAGCGAACAACGCCATAACGATCGCATGAAGAACAAACGGGAATATATAAATATGTGGATCACGCCTGTAATGATAATAAATCATTGCAATAAGAAGACTAAGGATTACAGTCTCACCTTAGTAGTGAAAGAATCCAGGAAAAAGGTCGTGGCACCGCATACTGCTGTGTTTGGAAAGACGATGGTATGGTGCAGTTCGTATTATCAATGTAGTAATCTTCTACTGGACACACGAAGAAAGGTCGATTATGCAGGAAGTAGGCAAGCTGGATGTAAGATGATTTATAATAAAAGAAAAGTGCATCTCCTATCAAAATTATGCAGCTAAGCAATATTATGTTTATAAGACGGCAACAACGTGTGTTATAAAACAGCTAGTCCTGCGTTTCGTTAAATCTTATTCAAAAAGATTATGTGATGTGGATAAGAAAACTCGATGAAATTTTTCCATCCCTCACGAAAGATAAGAAAGTTAGTTTATTACGAAAAAAGAAAATTAGCTTCTCCTAAATTTTAGGAAGCTTGTAGAAAAGGGAAAATTTGATCAAATGAAGTTAATATGGTTTGATAGAAATTAGGAAAGGAGCACTAACCGCTACTCCAAAAACAACGGTGCTCACGGCTCCCCCTATGAAACCTTCCCATGTCTTCTTAGGCGACAACTTGATCAAGGGTGTGCGACCGAAGAAAAATCCAAACATGTACGACATCACATCACAGCAAATGATCATTGAAACAGGGGCAAGGAACCTTAAATGATTTTTTTTGCGGGCGGATTATAATAAATATTTCAAGGACCAATAAAAAAATTCACGTACCAAATTGTCCCTTGGAAGATATTTTGAATGATGAAGAAGGATTGGAATACGATTAACAGCAGGGTTATATGAGTCCACGCAAACTAAACGGATATGTGTACATAAAGTGGTATTATATGAGCAAAAGAGTTAAAACTAAATAGTAGTTGATTTCCATATTCAGTAAAGCGCAGAAAATGCGCAAAGTAGAAAGAAAAAAATACCAAAGAAAACTGGCGCAAGTAGTATCCCTTCCTCAGTGACAACACAAACCAAACGAATCCCACGCAGTAAAGAGCAAAACTGATTAGTCGATGGTAGGAATTGAGGAATTGCAGGAAATTCTTCAAATAAAAAAAGTAAGGAACTTTGACAAATGAAGGAATGCTTATATGTTTACATCTTTCCTCAGCGCAATGGCCCAATAGTCAATGAGGCTCTCTCCAAAGAAAAAGTAGTTACTCGTGATAAGAAAATACCTGAATAAAATGCATGAGCATTAGGAAGTGTTAAAATATATAGTACAATACATTTTTTGCAACAATTATGTAGAGCAAACTTTTTCTTATGCAAAGATGCAAGAAAAAGAATTTGCAAATGGAGAAGATTTATACAACGCCGTATTGGAAAAATGGAAACAAAATATCTTGCATGGCTCAAAAATTTCAAACTCACCAAGAGAGCAGACGAAACCATGGGAAATCAAACATTCGATAAACAGCGAGACCGATGCTGATGATTTCATGGAAGCATTTGAACTGTATAGCGAACACCTAAACGAAATCATTTCCACAAGAAATATTCTGAGGAGCAAAAACTTAGCGAATTAACCCACGAGAGCCATCAGCCATGTCGGTCCTCTACTTACAATATAGGAGAACATTGATACCATAATTATCGTAAAAACGCCACGAACTACCCAATTTCGCCACCTACGAATGATAAAAATGAGATCGGGAAGTTTAAAATTTAAATGCTGAGGTACTTTTGGGGAAGAGGAGCTAGAACTGAATCTATTAGCTCGCCCATGCTGCCAGTATCCTGCGGGATGATCTTCGTAAACTTTGAGACTCTGAAAAGAAACTTTCAGAGATATAAAAATAACAGAAAGTTGACACACTAGAAGCACAGTTTGACCA